GATTTTTGTCGAACTTTTTTGAAAATCGACTTTAGTTTTTTGAGTTTCAACATGTGTCAACAATGAGCTTTTGGACCCAGTGATGAGTTTTTCTTAGTTTTTATACCCTAAGAACCAGAATCAGCGTCGATAGCAGATATAAATTTGCACGCATTTGCAAGAGTATAGTTCCAACACTTTTCAATACTCTGAGCTACGCCTAAGCTTAAATACAAGTACCATCAATGGAACATAAATCCTATAATGAATGAATTCAATGTTGTTCCTTTCTACTTTTCATAAAGGCAAAGAGAGAAATTTTTCTCTTGGACAAGATAATTTATTATTTATGCAGATTCTTATTCCGCAGTAATGAGATCTAGCGGCTCGGCTGAGGGTATTGAAAAGACCGGGTAAAAGTACAGGTACAAGATGCCGCTGAGGGCGGGGTTTAGAGTGAAACCGAGGATCGCTCGGCGGCCCTTTAACTGACGGTGCCGCAAGCGTATATATAAAGCGAAGGTGAAGATCGAGGCTCTTCTCAGCGAGAAAGTTGTGAATAAAGAAAGAAAAAGGGCGAATAATAATGCTACGGATGGCACGCAGCAGCAGTAAGAATCGAAGTATACCCGTGCCGCCCCTCTTGGGTACAAGATAAAAGCTGAAATAAGTCTGTATATAGATATAGGGTGCTTGCTACTTTTTTCTCAACCGTTCAAAAATTTTGCTTGCGTACACGTTTTCGTGAAATAAGCAAACTTTTCTTTATTATTCATTAAATTTCTTATAATTTTCTTTTCTTCAGTTTCATTACATTTAACCATTTACATAAGGTGGCTTATCTTGGATCATCAAACGATTTTCTTCAAATATAAAAATTGATTTAACAAGCACATTTATTCATGAATATAATTATTCATGCGATTCAATCATTCCCCATTCTATCCTGCAATATAAAGAAAAAATCTTGTACTCTTTAATTTTGTATTCATTAACTTCTGAATATAAAATAGTTAATTTTATCATACAAGTGAATTCTCCATTTAAATATTTTTTTTTATCAAGTGCCAAAACCATTACGCATTTTCTATTGTTTGTTGCTTCTTAACGTACCTTTTTTATCATTTTTCCTCACTCTGATTCTGAAATACGTATTTTTTACGAATAATAGAGTCACTGTGTTTTCTTTCAGTTTCATATTGATAGGATAGTAAAAGATAAAGGAAACTGAATGCAGTAAATATACACATATACAGAGTCGCCTCAAGTCTCCGAGTGCACTGTGACAGAAACAAGTCTTTTAAAAATCTTCTCTTTCTCTTGGGAATTAAATTCTATAAAATAAATTTAGGTTTTCTTTTTTCTGATCTTAACATATGTACACCTTCTTGATTTTGCTGTGTTCATGAGAAATTTTAGTTTCACCTATAGACAAAAAATTTTTTCCTGAAAGCTATAAATATTCTTGAGACTGTACCAGCAATAATTATCAAGATTTCAAATCATTACCGCTAAAAAAACTTCTATAATTAAGTCTCAATACTGATTTTTTCAAATTATTACTGAAACATGTTGAACCACTTACTTCATAATCGTATTAATTTTAATATTGATATACTTCGTCAACTTAAAATCCTGCTTTTGGGCCGTTGGTATGTAAATAAAATTTTTTTCCCCCAAAGGTTGTCTTTTCTTTACATAATTTACCAATTAATTGTTTATTTATTTATTAAAAATGTACATTCTGCCAAAAAAAATTCAATGATTGTTCAAAGTTTCTGGAAACATTTTTGCAAGTCAATATTTTTTGATTTGAATCTTTATGCACAATATCATCATATCACAAAGGTTTACTAACAATCGCTTGAGCTGCTTTAGAGGAATGCTTTACTTCGATTCCTACTTTTATTGTCTTTTTGGGGCTATTTTCACTTTCACTGCATCTTTTCCTCTGAAACTCTCTATATCTTTTCCATATTTTATAATTTTGTCCCTTTTTTACGTACATACACTGGCGAAAAAGTAAGAGAGGAAAGGAAAAAGCAATATTTTCCCCAGTTACGTGCTCTCATTGGTATGCTTTACTCGTTTACCTGGTCGCGCTGCTGCATTCTCTGTGTTTTTTATAGTGGCGATCAAAGGTCCTTTTTTTTGGTGGTCCCAAAATTGCGCACTGACATTCGAATAATTTGCATAAAGTTGCTACACAGTGCATTTCTGAGAATAAAAATAGCATTTTTTTTTAAGAAGTGACGTTTGCGAACCTCGATTGTCTCAAATCATTAATGATACATAATTAAGACTTAAAAATACAATCGAAACAGACTCTTAAAAAACTAATAATATAATCATACGGAAGTCTTAATTTTATCCGGGCGCTCAGTTTTTGTTCTTACGAATATCTTTAGCGTGCACCTTGGGTAGGTCGTCTACTCACACACTTGTTAGATAATATTAAATTTTAATATTGGAAAACTTTGCAAAAGATGTACAAGCACACGTTTTGTGGTGTTTTATGAGTCACCAAGCAAGAAGTTCAATTACAGCGCACCGTTGTATTATCGACATTATTGGTCTAACAATGCAGCAAGAGAACTTGAACAGATATTTAAGCATAGCAAATGATTACTTTTAAAATTTCAGCCATACATCTAATAAAATTAAGTTCATTTTTGTCGCTTCGAAATGTGTTTCATAGTGATTGTTGTTTTTGCAGCAATTTTTGTAGACTGCGGTTTCAATCTTTGCCCAACATCAAAACTGAAAATTCTATAGTTAATTTGGAAGATGAACTTGATTCGTTACTGTAAAGGACCTCATGGAATTCATTTTCATATCTATTCATTCTCGCTAAAATATAAAAAAATGGAATATATTGATGTTTTCTAAAAATTGTAAATATGGTACTTCGTTGTGTTGTGAAATACTAAAAATTGAATGAATGATAGTTTGCTATTAGTAAACCGATACTTATGGTTGGAATGTGTCCAACAACCATCGATTTCATTTAGATACATAGTATGTTATCCCCTTTTGAGTCTAGCGGTACAAAATCTGAAAACAAATGAAAATTCCCTTAAAAATTTTTTTTTGTTCGTTAAATAAAATTATATGTCTTTGATTATCCACACTTAAAAAAATCTTCCATCAAAGGAAAACAGCTGGATCAGAAAAAGATATTTTGCCGATGAAGCAAAATTATTGAGTAATATTTCGCTGATAATTTTGCAAAATTATTTTGCTGGGACAGCAAAATATCTTTTTCTGATTCAGCTGCCCACTTTTCCTGAATCTACTTATAAGATTTTTGTCAGTCATGAACAAAATCGTTAAACAAAATTACAAAAATTAACAAGTTTATAGGGTACTTGGACTAGTGATTGACCGCTTTCGACCAATAAATGACCACTTTTGGATGTGCAATAATCATTCTTTTATCTTGTTATATGATAATTGGACATAGAAAGCAAGATACTTCGTTCGCTGAAGAATTGAATAACGACCATACAAATATATTTTTAATTGTTTTTCATATCATATTTTCCAAAATGTTCATTCACCGGTACCCGGTCATTGATTGGTCCGACTACCCTAAGTTAGATGCAAAGCTAAATTCATCGGGGCGTAATTTTGAAACATTGAGATTTTCTTCTATCACACTTTTTGATACTTTTGAGTGTATGTAAAGAAAGCATAGAGAAACTATGAAAAGAGACACTGCACTTGGCATATTAAAAGATCGAGTTGAATAGAAATGGCTCGTAAATATGGCTTGGATTGCGGGTGTGCTAAAAAAAAAATAAAGAAGACCCTACGCAAGCAAGCTCTGAGCCACCAATCTGCCTGCCCTCTGATGAAATTGAATCCGTTTGAGCGTTTTTCCTTTTGTGCGTACATATATATTTATATGGGCGCTAGTATATACTTTTTATCGATTTTAACTTCTTTCTGCTTGAGATAGCCGCAGCGACGCTGCTATTGCCGACACGTTGAATATAATACCTTGAAAAAAAGAACCGCTTCTCAGAACCCTAAGGCATTTCTAGCAAATGGTTTATATGTTTTTCCATTGACTAATTTTAAATTGACAGTTTTGTGAAATCGAGTATTACATTAATTTAAAGAGCTGTTCGTTTCATGTTTTGCAAAAATATGTCATTTAAAAATGATCAATTTCAAACAAACTTGATTAAACAAGAAAATTGCTCAATGGAAATTGAAAATATCAATGAAACAATGTACTCCAAGCGTGATAAATATTGTAGTAAAACTGGACTCTTCAATAATTCAACACGATGCGCTTAGCAGCAAAGTAATTCAAGAAAGAAAAGAATTTCCAATTTCAACTTTATGCAAACCTTTATTATGATAGCTCGAGCGCGTTTAAATGAATTTTTAAGTTTCAAGTCCTCTCGCACTCGCATTCACCCGTCGTTCCATTTCATTTTGTCTTTCTCCCTCCCTCCCGGCAATATGGGATAAAAACGAACGTCAAAAAAATTTCTTTTCCAGAACGTAATCCAGTGCCGTTTCTGAAATAAGAGTGTGTGTGTGTGTGTGTGTGTGTGTGTGTGTGTGTGTGTGTGTGAGAGATAGAGAGAGACGAGGATGAGTAAAATTATGAGGACAACGGAAGAGACCTACCGCATGTTTCACGCGTAGTGCTGTACGGTCAACTCGCTTTTTTTACTTCCTTTCGAAGTTACTGATGGCCTGGCCTCATCTCCATTATGTACCCTTTCTGTTTGTATTCGAAGTATGTATAGTCTCAGGACTTGACTGGTTTTTATCTTTCGTGTGACTCATATCCGCTTACTTTTTTTTTACCTACATTTTCTTGTTTTTGACTAGTGAAAGGGGATGAGACTATAAGGTTATCCGTATTGCATAGGTCACTAACAAAATAAACCTTCAATTGGAAATTTTATTTGAAAAATTTTATCTTTTAAAGTGCAAAATCACTTGTTTGATCAATTATTTCATCGCAAATATGTAATCAGTCGCTTTTCTTTGGGTTACAGAGTTGAAGACAAAGCTTGACCAGCAATGGGCTTCGCTGAGCAGCATCAACATCAACGGCTTCAGAGGAAACATCAAAAACCACCGAGCAGCCGACTTCCCTTTCGTGAAACTGGATAAGCATCTAATACATCAGTATCTTTATTACACGAGTGGGCGCACGGACGAAGAGCAACGGAAGTCGCGCTCGGAAAAGTAGCGCCTGACAAAAGTGTAAATCTCACGTAAAAAGAAATTCATAGGGTGAAGCGTGTGCGTACGAAAAAGCTCTAAGAGAGACAGGTCACGTAACAGATAGTCTACTTCCTCGCGCGAAGCTTTACATCGTCTCGTCCTCGGCATTGCACATACATACATCCGAAACGATATTTCTTCACGAACGCGTTCAATTTCTCGGGGCGACGCTGCTGAGACGCTACAGCCGAGCGCCACCGTAGCTATATCAGTCGTAAATCTCGACCGTCACTTTACAATTACGAATTTAAAGTTCACACAGAAGAGCGAAAGGAGCTGCATGTATAGCACATATAAATCGTCACGTTGCCCATGGAGCAGCGGTAGCAGATTCAGTGACACTAGCGACTGCGTTTTAACGCCTTGGAAAAGTAAAATAGGTATTTTGTTTGTTTTATGTGCACGTGAACGCTTTGGCAAGAAAAGCTCGGATAAGAAAATACGACAAATAGAGAGCGGCTAGGCAGCGGCGGCCTGCAAGCTCGGATGGGTTAGCTTACGTTGCCCGCGCCATTACTACTGTCGCAGAGAAAGAGAGAGAGAGAGAGAGAGTTGGCGTGCGGTAGTGCGCAATGGACGCAAAGTACAGCGCCAGCAGTAGCAGCAGCAACAGCAGCAGCAGTGCTTGGCGGTTGTGGCACGTTGGTGTCGGGCTTAATTCGCGGACGCAGCAACAAGTGGCGTCGGGACGTGCCATAATAAAGCCCCGCAAACCGCCAAGAGTAGTCTACCAAGGCCGCGAGAGTGCAGCTGCATTACAAGCCTAGATATAAATATTAGCGAGAGAGTGACAACTTTGCGCGAGAGCCGTGCGATAATTTTCACTCGAACGTTTCGAGAGTACGAGAGAGTATAAAATAAAGTAAAGAAGAAAAAGAAGCAAGGCGAATGCAGGTGGAAAAAGGACAACTGCGACGACCAGTGTGGCGGATTATATCGGAAGAAGAAGCCACCGTCGCCGCAGCCGACGCCACTGGGCATTAAGCCAAACGAATCGATCTTTGGCGACAGTCTGCACTTAAAACTCGGCAAAACGAGCTTTCGCAGTTATATATTATATTGTAAGACGGATAAGGAGGTGTCTACCTATAACAGACCATAAGCAAGATGAAGCTGACGACGAGCGAGGCGATGGTGCCGCTGCTGGGCGCTCTCGCACCCCGATACGTCGTGAAGCAAGCGACGGTCAAGAGATGCGTTGCGGCTTTGCTGCTCGTCTCGATGGCCAGCATTTTCTATTACACCCACTACATCATCAGCAGTCCTTTGGCTAGGTGAGTATCGCACGTTTTTCTACCATTGAAATGCTTTTTTGTTGTATTTTTATACGTAGCTACGAGCGAAAGAGAGCGTCGACGTCTGGAAATTGTATAAATTGACGAAAAACACGATCTCGTTGGAAACGGAGGCATAGATGCGCAATATATCTCGTGCGGCAAACTCGTCACGAACTCGAACGTCGTACGAGGTATTAAAATGTAACAAGGACTAAGAATCGGATACGCGTTCGATATAACCACGACGAAAAATGAGCACTTGTCAGCGTCGTAGGACGTAGCAGCAGCTTGTGCTCGTCGAGCGTGCGCCTGTCTACTGCTTCCCTCTTAATATATATATATATATATCTGTATATGCGTAAGACGACATCATAGTCACAGGGAGAACTTTCGAATATGCTGATTGCGACACCCGCTCGACACGCGAAGTTATAGCTTGTAGTTCGGGAGCAGCAGCGGCAAGCCTTGCGTGCGCGTCGCATTAGCAAATCTGAAATTTGCGCTGGAGCTGCGGGTCTTGAACTCTACTCTCGAGGCGTACGGCTTCGAGTCCTATCTAGCCCTCCACTCTCTCTCTCTCTCTCTTTCTCTCTCCATTATATCCATCCAACTAACAGCAGTAAGTCATCTGTGGTATAGATCTGCGTGCTGTTGCTTTTGCTAAGATCCGACGCGGCGTAGCTACGTTCAACAGCATTAGACTTTGAGCTCTACTGCGCACTACCTACAACTTGGATACCTGCCTTGCTTCAGTCGTAATTTATACTCCCTTATCTAATGTTTTTCCATCGCGTCGCTTGCGCCGTCAATTTTTTAACAGTTCGAGTCATTTATTTTTTCATTCGAGCACTTATTTCGCTATTCATCGCAATCGTTAGTAAGAACACAAGTCACAGCGCACGACCCCTCAACTTTTCAAGAGTTAGGGTACAGTACAGCGTACAGCTCCATTATATAGTATGTATCGTAGACTTGGGGCAAACTTGTGCGTGAGATTTCTTGAACCGGTGCAGCAGCGAACACACATAACTATAATAATTTAGTGGCTTTGACATTGCTTCAGCAAACACGAATGTGTAGCTGTGGCTGCGTGCGAAGACGACCTACAACGCGCTAATGTACATAAGGTCATTTCCTCCAAAAACTGAATTTATATCCAAAGTCTCATCTTCCTCTGGAAAGGGTTAGATAGCGCTCTTGTTTTATGCCGTAATTAAACTTTGCCGTTTCGCTGTCAACAGTCTGCCTGACGTGCTTAATGTGCGTGTCACATACATGCAAGCTGAAAAACTGTTTAATTGTCTTGTATCTCGATAACATTTCTCAGCTCCAAGTTTCGCAAATTATTTTTCTAACGATAATTCATAATCATTCCGAAGTAATGGAAAGTATCAAAACAATAGCTTTGAATCCGACGTTCGAGAGAATAACCGAATTTTCGTCGCGTGCTTCGCACTCGTATCAGCCAATTTATAACGGGTACAATAACGAGAATCCACTGAGAGAGTTATAAACAGACAATTTGTTCTGTTCGCCAGATGCCACTTGTGTCAAATGTCGAAAGATTTGCTTTTGATGAAGCAATAACACACGTTTCTGCGCTTATATGCGGCAGTGGTCGGTCTCTCTCTCTCTGTGCACGCGCCAACTTCATTGCGACTACTGCTTATAATTGGATGAACTCGCTGCACGCTTTATTATTCATTTTTCATTATCGCTCAAGCTCAATTATCCGGCGACGCCCAGTACACGTGAATAATCTCGACGCGCTCCAAAATATCCTTTCGCTCCGAGTATTGACCTCGTGCCAAAGTTAATTGTTATCTTGCTGTCCACGCGTGTCGGTGTTGATTTTCCCTTCTTCCCTCCCTTTCTCTCTCTTTCTAAAACGCAGAAAACTTTTATCGTAGAAATAACTGCGAAATTCATTTGGCTAAAGGAACTCGTACATCATGGTACGAGGATGATGAAATTAATTGAAATCTCCTTGCAGTTGGTAAATTTTCCACGCGAAAATCTGATCTTCGGCCGAAGTTACTTCTGCAAGGATAGTGTCGCCACGAAAATCTTTTAGATATATGGAAGGGAAATTGAGCTTGCAAGCTAAAAGTCAGAGAGTATACGCAAGAGGCCGACCCAATTTGAATTAGGATATATATGGAACGAGAAGGAGAGATAGAAAGAGGGGCTCTGGCGGTGTTTCCGCACGCTGCTGCTGCTGCTGTTTCTGCTGCTGCCTTCCACGACGCTAACTGTCTTAATTCCGTAAGAGAGAAGCTATCCCAACGCGTATATAACTTTGCAACGTTTATCCTTCTGCAAGGGGAAGAAGCGGCAGCACGACCAAGTTTAATAACCGTTGCTTCGATAGAGAGCAGCGAGACTTTTGAGGTAAAAGGATTGAAACGGGGATTTAAATGAGTTTTAACCTGCTCGTGTTATTGTAAATTAAAAATATGCAAACGAACCGAGATCGATTGCGTAAAAACAAAAGTTTGCCTAAATTACGCGAAATTTGGCAAATAATAACTTTCCAAACTTTGCTTATTTGCGCCACGAGACTTCAATAAATCTTCTTAACGGCGAGCCTCGTGGGTCTTAATTTGAGAGACAGGGAAAATGGCGATTTCATCCCTCGATCAAGATTTTTCGTCGCTTCGACACGCTTCGGATTAAAAAATCTTGACCGAAAAAATAGGCAAGGGCATTCAGTCGAGATGATTAATTAAAAATGTATGTATTAGTTCAACCACTAGAATACATGATTAGGAGGAAGACGAATAGGGTCGCAACTGTACAACAATGAATGAAAATGGCCGATACGAGTTGGGAAGCCAATCTCCGAGGCGAGCTACGGCATTGCATATACAACTACGAACTCCACAATACAACTACGAGTCGGCGGTGGCTGATCAATCCTCTCAGTTGCCGATGTGGTGTAAATCTCAAGCTCAGTATTGTATTTAGTCGCGAGAGCCCAACCTCGCTCCCGACTTATATATTTATACAACTGAAGAGATATTTCTTTTATACTCTCTTTACGCTGAGTGATAATGCACAGCTATTGTTTGGCTTTTCGACTTGGCGTGTTTTCTACAAATAAAAAAACTTTTTTTGACATTCGCTGGATTGTTTTATTCTACTATTCTTACGAGACAAAATCTGCATTCATGATGAATGCAGAAAATGTTAAACTTGAAAAAAATATAAATAAAATAAATATTTTAAACATTAAATTTTTTTGAAGTATGATAATTTTTTGACCATAAGTCTTAAAAATATATGTCCTAGCCTTGGCAAATAGCTGGGAACAAAACATGAATTTTCTTATTAATTCATCATAAGTGAATGGGGTTTTTCTTTTTCATACTCACAATTTTAAAGCGATTCTCCATCTATTGTCTATTAACAAAGAATATAAATTAAAATTTAATCAGAAAAATTATTTCCAATAAATCGATTAATCATATTGCAAATTTTGCACAGTTGGCCGATAAATTAATTACTAAAAGCGTGCGAGTTTGTCTGGTTTTATTTTTTAATAGTATAAATATAATGTCGTGGTATATAAAAATATGCAGACCTCTTCTCGTCTTCAAACATTTTCTCTGAATTTAATTTCCGACTTTCAACTTGATTGGTTCAAGTTAAAAAAAATCGATAAACATTGTTATCTCGCTCGACCCTGTTCCGATGAAGTCTCTTGGAGGGTCGTTTTTTAAATGGAATACCAAATTAAACTTTCATTGTGTCGACTGTACAAATGGGTGTACAAGTTTAGGTGTGCAAAATAGACGAGTTTCATAAATAGTCTTACAGAAAGCAACAGCAGCTATATTCCACATTCTTGGCGTCACGTGGGATTTGGGATATAGCTTGTACAGACAAACCCGACTATCTATATATACGGATGTTTGTCATTCCCAATCACCGGCAATTCAAACGGTAGCAACAGCTCACGCCATCGGGCACGCGTAGGATAAATGCGATATCCTTTTCTTTCCTCTACATATGCTGCATACCTTGCCTTTGCGTTTATCCATTTCCAGACTGACTATAGAGTTTCAAACGAACTTTAAAAAAGTAATTTCTTTTAACCTTCAACTTTTATAATTCATCGTAAAAATAATTGATTTTAATTTTTCGAATTAACGTTATCAATGCTTCATCAATTGATTCTAGTTATGCCGAAAAACTCAAAAAAATTTACGGAAATGTGAATCTTCAAATAGGCTAATTTACCTTGGGAAGCTTTGCAATTTAGTGTTCGCCCATAACTTTGCGAAAAGAAAAATTTATGTTTATGTATGTATTTACTTTGACTTTCTATGCATTTTAGATGAAACAGCAGTTGAAAAACACGCCCGTAGACTTGCAATATGCATATTGCATGAGCTTTTGAAACGGAGCAGCTAATTTTTTACGAGCTCGCTACCTTGGAAGATTTATCTAATTTTTCACTTGAGCGTAAATCGCGCATGAATATGTAATTTATGTGCACATGAAATCCTCCGCGCATTCGGTGAATAAAGCATTTCGCTCGATCACTCGGAGTTATTAAAAAGAAGTAAATACGCTCATCGAGACACAAAAAAAGCAAACATCATTATTTTTTACTGGTGGCTTTTGCCAAGTCTCTTACTTGATACGGGTCAGACTTTTTTTCTTTTTGGGAGACCAATAAATTCTTTGGAACTCTCGCAGCAATACGTAGGCCAAAGTAGCAGCTGCATAGTATACAGAGTAATACTGTCGCATTCTCTCCATCCTTTCTCTCTCTCTTTCTCTCTCTCTGTTCCTCGATTCGCAACCCTCGGGACTGCCCGGCTGACTGATCGCGTTCCATTGATTAGGATTCCAATTATTGGCTCAAATTGGTTATTCTCTTGCTTCGCTCTCTTTTACTTTGTACTCTTTTTTCCATCAAGATGGGTCTTTCTTTCTCCCTCTATCCCTCTCTATAATCCTCGATGGCTTGCAGTGGAGTATTCCTATTT